TATCATATTTTTTGTATAATTTTAGTAAATGTTGACATAAAATGATTTATTTTTCTATTAAAATAATACTCAAAGTTCTTTGATGAATTATATACCAATTAATACGATATCTAATTCCAAGGTTTTATGAAATATAAAACCAGAAGATTTACAGAAAGATATTTGATAGCAGTACCCTGATTATAAATAGAGATCGAAAATTCAAACTTCGATTTTATTCGTCCCACGGTTGGGAACTGATGATTGGCTTTGGCTCATTCGTCTTTATCTTGTTAGGAGCCTCTTGAATACTCTCTTTCCCATTTCTTTCTTTTGCTCGACTCTTTGACTTTAAGAACGCTGGTTTTAAGAATCAGTCAGTGATTGCATGCCGGATCTGATGTATCATTAGGCAAACCAAATTTTAGATTCAAACCCAAGAATCATTCAGTCAATGAATAGTTAATGGTTCCCATTTGTTATAAATTTGGTTTTTTTGGATGAAAATATACATTTGACTTTTCAATAGAAAAGTGGGGGGGAGTTTTTCGGCATTGTGTGTTTTGAGATATTATACAGTCAATCGAAGGGGCGGATCAAATACAATAAAAAGAGTAAAAAACAAAAGGTTACATCTTAATCTTTTTTCAGACTCCATGTCTTAGGGGTTGTTTGGTTGATCAACTCTTGTATGGATAAAATTGTTTGTATGAATTAATCTATTTGTATTGATTGATAATGTTTTTTGGAGGGTTTCTTCATAATGGAATGAGCGTGTTTTTTAATTGGAAGAGTAAGTTCAGAAAAAACTTGGTTTTCTGCATAAAACTCCTCCCTATAATCTTACTGAATAAACCACTTTCTATATCGTTAAACAACTATTATACAGTTATGTATAACTGATCAAATAAGTTGTGAGTCTCAGACTCATTAAACTGTTAACAAAGAATGGAATAACATTTATTATGGCTTAGTTCTAGTTTGGTTTCCAAAACCAAATCAACACTCTCTTAATTAAGCAGACAAATACCCACAAAACATTGGATTGTTACCACCATGTGCTCCTTTGTGGAGGACCATAACCCAGAAAGAATGCCAGTGGGTTTCATGTAGATCATGTTCAGGTGCTTTCAGCTTATAATTCAGTGCCCTCCATGTGTTTGTGTTTTTGCCTCAAAGAATTCCTTATCCTTTTATTGGTGATCCTTTTATATAGGAGAAGTGTGTTTCTTGTGTTTTGCTTTTTAGGCATAAGATTTTGTGTATAGCTCATTAATTCGTGTGGCCTCCATTATAAGCAAAGCGACACGATGAATTGACATCATAGTGCGACACCCCTTGTGATGTTTGTCCATTTGTGTTGGCGTAATTCTTCGACATCAAAGTCAGAAAACTATTGTAAAGTTATTGTAGTCCATAATGGTCCCAACTCCCAATCTGGGTTGGGTTTCCATGATTTATTATGAAAATAGTAAGAAAAGATCTTCATCTTTGGATCAATCATAATCGAAGAAACACCGGATCAATTCTCTTCTAAAGTACAATTCATGTGTTGATTTGAGATTAAAAGTAATCAATGGTCTAAATCCCTTCTTACATTTCTCATATTCTCCTACGATTCTTCATCCTCCCAACCTTAGGCATCAGAACAGACACTAGTTGTTTGTAAGTTGTAACTGTCAGAAAACTTAAACGTTAATCGTTAGATACAGATACAATAGATACAGATACAAAGGTCAAAAAGTTTAAGCATGAGAGGCAAAAGTGATGATAACCCAATTGTGTACGAGATAATATAACTTTAAAACAAAAAGAAAGATTCCTTTTTAATCGAAAAAAATGTAATAGTCATGGCCTACGAATACTATAAAGGATAAGTGATCATTGAGTCAAGCTTGTACACCTATACATACAAGGTGATGCCTTGACCACATGTTGACTTCATTTCTAGCTTCAATTTCAATAGCAAATAACTATCTTTTTAAGGTTTGTCTCTTTTAACAATTTCTTCATGTGGGGCTCTCTTTGTATAATACAATACATACATATATATATATATATATATATACACACACATATATATATATACTACATTATAAAGTAAATTTATCAAAAGTCTTAAAAACAAGTTTTAAGGCACAAAATACTACACATTTATGCACAAAGTTTTAAAAGTCATAAAAACAACTCATAATATATTAATTACTACTACTTTATGCACATTATTACATTTTCTTTTCATGTTCCTAAATATTTTTGACACCTTTCACTCATGCCTTCATCATCTCATACCTCTATGTCTTCTTCCCATCCCCCAAGGTGAGATTCAAACTAATATTCACCATGAGTTATTAAAAGTTCTCTCATTCATCTCCCGTTCAATTGCTGTAGAACTCTCGGTCTCGGTCTCGATCTATTGATTGTTTGCTCTTGTTGTAAATTGAACACATTTGTGGAGTCATTTAAATATGTTGGATTTTAAATATATTGGATTTTAAA